TTCACTACTAGGTTGGAGCTAGGTAACTAGGTAAAAAGGTACATTTAGCTAGATCCATCAAGTGAATAACCGCCCGGTTACGTGTGTGTTGGAGCTAGATCCACTCCATAGAAAATTTTTGCTTGGGTATATTGGTGGGCGATGCATCGCCTCTTGCATCTAGTGCATCGCTTTTACTCGACGCATCTAGATAACTAGATTTTTTTACTCATTTATCTAGATGCTCCTGCTGGAGCATCGCTAGATGCACCAGCGAATGCATCTAGATATTTTTGCTGGGCAGGTTTTGCTTGGGCACTTTGATTTCATCGTAGCCGTTTCGTGCAACGTGTGACAAAAGTTCCGATCTGTCTAAAAGACCAGACACTTTCGTCACATAACGGGTTAACTTTCGTAACCACTGTTCAAACATGGTTAAACTTTCGTCACATGCCGCAAGAACTCTTGTCTCATGCAGGGGGAATTCTTGTCATTGGAAAACAGAGCTTTCGTCATGTGACGAAATTTCACCGTTACCTAATGACGAAAGTGTATGGTGACAAAAGTGCTGTGAAATGAAAAAAAGTATTTAATGTTACATAGCATTAAAAAGTTCCGATTTTCAAGAAGTCGTATTTGTATTAGAGATGAAAGTTTGTTGCTTCTTCTTTTGGAAAGGGCATGCTGTCAAAGCCATAGATCTGAGAGTCGGGTCATTTGGTCCAGTCGTTTCCTGTGCAATATGGCTATCCGAAAACGTTAAAACTTCAGCAAGTACGAAAATCCGAAACATGTTTTATAAGAACTAGTAGTTAGTGAAGATCCAAAACATGTACATTGAACAGTCAGTGATAGTACTGATACAATTGTCTATGCTTTTACAGATCCGAATAATTTAGTTAGTTTTTCTTGCTTCGATAGGCTTTTGAATTCTTGACTACTAATAGAGAATTATTAATTCCCTGCGTCTGTCAAGAGTGATGTTGAATAAACTCGGCCAGAGCTTTCGATACGTGACTATCGTATTCGATCTTGTATTCTACTATTATTCTTGCACTTATACATTTTAGCGACAGCTTTGTTTGACTTTTTAATAATGTTCTAATATCAGACCGCGTCGTATCGATACATTCTATTGGTGTCATTCCCAGATTATTCAGTGTATCTATATGAGCTCCATATGCAACTAATGAATTAATGATAACAGTAATATCAGTTATATCCGCATGTCGACTTGAACTTATTACGTGCAATGGTGTATTTCGCTGCATATCAGTTGCATTCACATCAACTCCAGTTTCAGTTAGAAGTACAGCAGCTGATGCACAGGGAAATCTAAACATTACATGATAAACAGCAGCTGTTCTACTGAGCGTCGGTGGCAGACATACTTGAATGCTGTGTTCATAGGAGGTGTAAACTCATTCACGCATAAATGTAACAGCGTCGAATGACCCTTGCAGATTCTGAAGTTAAATCGATTCAATCGATAAAGTAGTTTAGAAAGAGCATTCTGCTCCTTTGTAGTTTTGAGATGTAAAATCTAAAATTGAACAAGATCTCGGAGTCGAATCGATAAATAAGCCGGCTCGTCTGAAATATATCATTGCATCGGTGAACGCTATGCACATTTTGTGGAATTCATTAAATCGATCTGGGAACTATGGAAATTTTGATGGAGCCTAACTTTACTCGTATAGAAAAACTGAAGCTTTTTATACTATCTCATAGTAGTTACTACTAGATGCTATTTTTCTCATGTTATTTATCTCGTAAGATTAAAGAATACTAGTGAACTGTATATTTAGAGAAAAACTTGCTTGTGCTATGCGTTTCTACAATAACAGACGTACGCAACAGGTGGTTGGACGTTTTTGACTATCTGTGATAAACTGTTTTGTGAAGAAAGAAAACTAGAGGAAACGCTTTCTCTGATAAAGTGTCGTGTCCTATAGGACCCCTTTTTGAGGAGATATAATAATTTTTAGGCCCAATGATATCCTGATGGGGGAATTTTTACAAAACATATTTCAAAAACTCATCATCTCAAAAAATCGTGGTGCTTTTGCAGAAAAGTGACTACATGACAGAAAGCGGAAGGAAAACTGAGCCTGAATCCATGTTACTTTACTCTTAATTCAAAAGTCTACCACCTGGGATTTTCTAAAACAAAAATATATATCCCGATCGGAACATACGAAATATCCCAATTGGGATATAACTTATAGACCAACCGGGATTCTCTTCGGGCAATGAGATCAGACTGTCTGAACAGCTTGGATAGTGGTTTGTGTATAGTGATTATCAAAATTTCTGACAATCCTTAATGAGCAGATGTTTGCTAATGTAATCGATGTCAATGGGTTGTGATTCAGATGGCACTTACTTGCACCTACCTTTGAAATTATAACAATCAAATGTAATGTTGATTCAAAACTGCTGTTGAAAGATGACAACTCGTTTTCCATTAATTCTTCAATAGCATATTTCATTGCACGAATCAATGTATCACAGGGTATGTCAACTTTATGCATCATCATGTCGGAAAAAACATTAACTACCGAACTTAATAGTAACTGAAGTGATTCTCCAATTGATTTTCTTATTTCCATTACATATAACGAAAACAAGAGCGAATGTTCGTATCTTTTTTCTCGCGCAAATATCACTCCTCTATACATTATTGAATCGAGTGCCGTTGAATTTGTAGTACCTAATATTCTTTGAAGTACAAGTAGAGTTTCTATGTGAAGGGTATCATTACTGAAACGAATCTTTTCTAATTCTTCCAGCGTTTGACATTCGAGCTGATTGTTAAAAATTGGTAATGGCTGCTGATACGCTTTTAAGATTGGTTGTTCAGGATCTGCATGTCTCAATTGCATAGCCTGGAATAGATATTCATATACTTTTGAGATATCATAAGTTGCAGTGGTGTGATTGCAATATGAAGCAGCCTGTAGTTCAAGAGCCTCAACTTGTTCTATTTTAGAACAATAATCTGATTTATTAACAAAATATTCGACGATCGATGGTCGAGGCTCCGAGGCAGCAATGTGCAATGGTGTTACACCATTTAGGTTTTTCGAATTAACGGCTCCACTGTTGATCAGCAATTTTACTAAATCGAGATTATTTGTCTCGCAAGCATAATGTAATGGCGTTGAACCTTCCTTATCTTTTGCATTTATTTCAGCTCCTATACCCAGAAGGTAACGGCATAATTCTGTGTGTCCACGATAGGCTGCGATCATTAAGCACGTGCTATCATAAGCGTTCACAAGTTTGATGTCGCCACCATTGTCAACCAAATATTTAACAATATCTATTCGGCCATTGTAACATGCTACGCGCATCGGTGTCGATTTTGATAAGATACAATGATTCACATTTGCTCCATGACGGATCAATAACTGAACAATATTTAAATGATCAAAGCCGACTGCACATCACAACGGTGTTATTCCGTAAATAATTTCATTTTCAAGCTGTAAAACTCCTTTGATTTCAATGTTTATATTAAACTTTGTTAGCAGCAATTCGATGATATTGTAAAAGCCGTGCATTACCGCTATGAGTAAAAAATTTCGTTGAAACTGTGAATGACTGATAAAATCATTTATAAATTGGTTAGCATGTATCGAAGATAGACATGTCAGAATTGTTTCCATAATAGTACACAGCCGAGTGGGACTAGTCTCATGACGCACTTGAGCATGAATATAACTTTTTAGTCCGTTTTGACGATTATTTCTGATCGAAAATACGTTTGTGGAATCTATTCTGTCAGTGAAGCTTCGAATTTTGTCGTGTAGGAAAGAAATATCAACATTGTTCACGTACAATGATCCAGCTGTCCATTCACTCTCATATTTACAGCCATCTGGATACGTCAGTATTCCTAGTCCCCATCTCCAACCTTCTCGCCACATGCCTCGGTAGCAACTCCCATTTATATAATTCATCACACCGTAACCATGTGCAATACCATCAAATGATAACTCTCCGCAATAATCATCGCCGTTATCTCTGACAAAAGTTGAATTAATATGGTTCCATCTGCCAATAAACGTACCGTCCGCTAACCACGTCACAACACCTATCAACCAGTTATCGTCTACCCATTCGCCTGTCCATTCGATACACGGCGATTTCCGATAGAAGCAACGACCTTGACCGTGCCGTTTACCATTAACAAAGGGGTTATCCACATAGAATGTCAGATAGAACTCTATAATCCCTCAACCTTTCTAGACTGATGAAGTCCTCGAGTTCATCCAAAAAATTTCTGTATTTTAATTGTAAAAAAAATCACTTTTCGATTGACCTATTTCCTTAGATGACTTTAAAAAGGCGATAACAAAATCCTGTTACATCGTGTACTAGTCTCCAAAGATAAATTATCAAACGACTGACAATAACAGCAACACAGATTTACCATAAGCACACGCAGTATCACGACAGATGAAACTCAAATTCATACCTCGTGAAACTCAATCGAAGACCTTTCCGACAATTCTCTTTTTTCCAGATAAAACGACAAATCATTCGAAATTGAATTGTGTAAACACGGATGAATCAGTCGTACTTATCTTAGGTTCAATCAGCCGTCGTTAAAAAAAGTGAAATTTCTTAGAGTTCTATCAGAGTAAAGTTTACAATGCTTGAACCAAATTTTTTTAACCAGAATCCTCACCTATTCTTTGGTCTTGTTCACACGTCAACTAATGCTTCTTTTTTACTTGTTCGTTGTTTATCGACTCCCACTAAATTGGGCGTTCATTGTGAATGTTCACGAACTCGCCTTCATACCAACGATTATTATTTTCATATGGGATAATGTATATTTCAACACCAAACAGTCTCATATCAGTGAGAGGGTCTGAAATAGAGATATTCTTTGTCATGCCTCTATGAATATTTCCTTTGACATCCATAGTACGAATATATAAAATTATTTTGAGTTATTGGTTCTTTCCCATGTGAGTCAAAATGAAAATTGACATACCTGTTTTTTCAAGTGTTTTTCGTTCTTTCACCATATTTTTCTGTTCTGCATGCTTTTTCGAATAAGCGTACACATATTCTTATATAATGTTGACAGAAACTGACTCATTTTGCATGCAAGTACTATGGGGGAAATTGTTTTTAACACTTTTTGAATTTTAACTTTTGTGTCTCTTCAATTACTTACCATAAACTATTTGTGAAGGGAAAAAGTAGCTTAAACATCATCCTTCATGTTCATGATCAGGATAAGTTTCTTTACGGACATCTGCTCTGTTTGGAAAAAAGAGCGGTTTCAGTGAAGGAGGGACAGGGACAAAGCGTTAGCAAGCCAAATTGCCTAAAATGTTCAGAGGGCTTTTAACATCACTGATTCTTACTAGCATCGAAAGTAGAGCTAATTTTGAGAAGTAAATTATCAAAAATCTTAATTCTGTATCCGCATATGTTTCGTCATTTTAAGACTCTCTCTCTTGAGCTCTCGACAGCGCTTCGTTATTGAGAAAGCTTTCAGCTACAAACAGCTCCATTTTAACCACTAATTGAGCGACATCTCTGACATGGTGATAGATGACTTCATCAAAATTTTACGGCAAGAATACTATAAGCTTTTGATAGTAAGGTTTTCCTTCCTCAACGAAAACTCAAAGTACTTCGAACTGAGACAAGGTGCGCTCATAAGCAGGAAAACAATTATAAGTACCTTTTGGTTTATTTGTTCAAAAGGAAGCTATGTTAACGTCTCGCTTATGATTTTTATATTTTTTGTAATAAAAAATCCAAACAAAGAGAATAAACAACAAGGTACGCACTCATCGGTTTTTTTCTCTCTCAATCAATCGACAATGGATTTTGTGTACATCGTTGTCTTTTTAGTAAAGAGCGCAAAGGTGTAGGAAAATAAATTGAAGTAAAATGCTGAAGAGAACTTGTTTCTCGGCGAAACACGAGAACAAAACTAATGCACCATACTGAAAAGGGAATAGTTTGTATTTTCTAATTATTTATTATATTCGATCAAGTTTGTAAAGGACCAATTGTCAATCACCACGAGGACCACTCAGCCAATAATCATTACTCACATAGTTTCATCTCTTTCTCTCTTTTTCTTTCTCTCTCTTCTCTCCTTTTCTTTTTCGATGTTCAATATATCTCTCTCTGTCTCTTTCTCTTCCTCTCTCTTATCTTTTTTTCCTTTGGGATGTGATCATATATAATATAGTATGTAGCGTAGTGGAGTGGTGATTTTGCTTTTGGTTGAAGTGTGTGTTACATTTATTCTTGCGTTTGATGTGATTAAATAAACGACCACCTGTGCTCAACGAAAGGAAGAGTCAATAAGGCATCTAAACAATTACGTGATATAAAAGCGTCACAATTTGGCAATCTCGCGAATCTCGCTTCGAATCTCGCTTTCCTGCAGTTTTGTAAAACGCTTTGGCTGCTCAGAGACTGCAATATTAGATATTAATCGTCGCTATTGAGCGTAGTCAAACTTGTTCATCGGGAAGATATTAAATCGTATTCTACAATTTCTACTTTACGAACACGCCACCATACATCTGAGTAAGTACTTTTGATTACGTAGAATATGTCTTAGGAAGGAAAAACTGTAAAAGAACATTTGACCACCTTATATGGTCAGCAAAAGGCACTTAATGAGTCAGTGAATTCTCGAATAGGGGAGTTGAAAATAAAATTTGCTGAAACAGCCACGAATACAGACAATCAGATTGATAGTCTGAGCGAAAAACTTGCCAGATTAGAAGGAAAATTAGATGTAATAAATATACAACGAGAAAGTGGAATTCCAAGGCTAACTAAAATATTTGAAGAATCTATGCAAGACTTACGCCGATCATTAGCCCTCTCAACCAGTACTCAATTCACTCCTTCACCAGATCGTTTCAATACCTCACCACAAGCCTCAACATCGATCTTTTCACCAGAACCACCACGACCTATTCCATCTCAGCAATTAGCCCTAATACAACCTTTTACACCTGCCCCAGTCTATACGAGATCGAAATGATTGTTGCTACATTCTGAAAGACTCAAACGGCAAAGTGATCTTACACCGAGGTAACCCACACTTTGTGATATTTCAACCTTGTGCATTTCTCTTACTGTTGTGACTTTTCATTCTGAGATCTCTGCACAGTCAACATATTTAACTGAACCTACCCACCGGAGAAGACTTTAGATTTGATGCATTGTCCGAGAAAGAATATTCTCTTTCGATTCTAAAACTGTCAAGAAGAAAATAGTTCAAATTTGAGACAGAAAAATTAATTTTCCTCACAAAATATTACATCGTTACAGACTGAGATAAAGGAAAATACGAAGTCAGTGTGATCCTAGTTTCGTGCAAGGATTGATTTTGTACTTTGATAGTTTAAGGAACAGAATGATATAATAATAAAAATTTTCCTCAACGGTAGGCAAGATCTTGTCTCGAATTAGACACGATCTTGCTATAATCCTGCCGTGATCCCGGCACTGTCTTGAAACACAAATGAAACGGGATTGCATGACGAACATGATCAAGAACGCGATTCCAATTATAAGATCGCCATTTTATTTTGTCAAGATCAGCGACAATTAGCCATCTTCACTCCCCATGCAAAGGCACTTAGTCACCGAATCCTGACATACAATAGGAATTGACCTTATGGGTCCCTTCCCTCCTAGTCAGAAACAAAAACAATATCTCCTAGTAGTTGTTGATTATTTTACCGGATGAGTAGAAATGTTTTCTCTTCGCACCACCACAGCAACGGATATGGCTAACGTTATTGTGAATGAAGTCATTTGTCGATATGGATGCCCCAAATTTATTTTATTAGGTAATGGACCTCAGTTTGTCACTAACGTTTTTCCGGCAGTTTGTAACCAGTTGGGAATACGGAACAAGTTTACAGCTACATACCACCCACAAACAAATATGACAGAAAGAGTAAATAAAACTGTAAAACAAATGATTGCACAATATGCTGAAGGAAAACCCAACTCCTGGGCGAAAGAAATTTCAAAATTGGTCTTAGCCATGGGAATATCTGTTAACGAAACAATGGGAGACACTCCGCTTCCTAAATTTAGGTCGAGATCTACGTATACCCATGGATGTTATTCTCGGCGTTCACACTACCGGATCTCCAAAGCTCCCTGGTAATGCAGACCTGGTAACTCAGAACTACCGAGCGCGACTTATTCAAGATCTCAAGTATGCATATCAAATAGCCAGAGAACACGCGGAAGTTCAGAAAGTTACTCGAAAAAGCCATTATGATGGCTACGACCCCAAGAATCTACCAAAAGGACAATTAGTGTGGATAGCTATCCCAAGCGGACCTCTCCCTGGAAAGTTAAGCCCAAAATGGCAGGGTCCGCGCAGACTAATAAAACAGCTGGCGCCAGTCTCATTTAAAGTCCAGCGTTTAAAAGACCAAGTTGTTCTAGGAACGGTGAACGCAGATCGTCTGAAACCCTTTCATTAAAAAGAAGAAACATCCCAAACATCCTCATCAAAACATTCAAACCTCAAACCACTAACATCGACAAAACATATACCACCATTGATCTCTATACTGATTACTGTCAAACCGACACCGCAAATTCGAACATCGGACCGCATCCGAAAGCCCAATGTTCGATATACCCCGTAAAACATTAAGCAAAAACCCTTTTCCACTTCCTATGAAACAAATTATAGTATCCCATAACACCAAAACGCATCATCAAGTTTATCATCAATCATGAAGCCAGATGTGAAACAGATATAATATCAATTTCACTTCAAGACGACCTAATATACATACTCAGTGAACACAGATAAATAATATTAGAAACATCATTATCACACCACCTTTAGTCTCATATGCACTACAGTCTCATCACACATAACATAAACATTCATCAAAAAGTTAACAATGAACAGATAGAAGAGCCATCAACAAGAAGTATGTACATCCACACACTGATATGTATAGTTTATAACAATCAGGACATTGCACGAGGAAAATGTGCACTCAATCAACTCACCATATAATGAAGAAAAAGAAAAGAGAAAACAAGTAGACACTTCTTTTCTTCCTAATTGATTTCAAACCATATTTCATATCTTCCATGTATACAACCATACAGCTCAGAAAGTGTGATATACTAAGGGAAAACGTGTACGCTAAGAATAACATTATCAGATGCTTCGTACCTCACATTAGAATATCACCATCTAGACGGATCTTCAGTTACTTCTCCAAAAATCATTCGAAAACCATTAGCATATACTCTACTCCTCACAATATTCATCTTACTCGCCGCACCAAGTATGTCAAACAAAACGTGCTTACCACGCCAGATGATTGTACATCCAGATACAGGACTCTTTCTCCAATACAATAGTGAATACAAGATAAAATTATCTATAATACTGCGTGGTTTTGTCTGACAAAAGATGCATGTTATTTAATTCCCTCGACTGCCGCTGCTAAAATCCCCCAGTGTCAAAACATAACCGTGGCTTGTCATAAATGTTTTATCTTTGATGTTGTGTAGCATCAACAGCATTGGGGCTGAGCACAACCAATACAATACAAATCGGCTTACTGAATCAAGCAGTGGGAGGAATCAATACCGAACTAAAACTGATAGCAGAACAATTGAAATCAGGTTCAGCCCGTTTGACTCACATGGAACAAGGGCAAGCGAGACTAGGAGCAGAATTAAAGAAAACTGAAGAAATGTACAACAAAACAGTAACAATTGTTAGCGAACTTCCGACTGACTATAAATATCTCAATGATAAAATCAATTATGTGAAACAGGAAACGGATCACAGAATCGATAAACTAGAACGACGAATGGAAGGTATGTTCCTTTATACAGTCATGAATAATATACTTCACAATCAATTCTCACTTGGATTTCTTGCTCCAGAAGATATAACTTTGGCAATCCAAGACGTAATACAGAGGGAAAATCCAACTTTTGGTCCGGCTGCTAGACAACTAGCTTTATCTGTCTATGTAACACAGTTAATAATTCAACAACACGTCGAGTTTGTTCCCGCAGTCTTCTACCTGCGGGATCCTGATGAAGGATCCATTATATTTTTGTATCTTAATTAAACTAATGAGTTTGTTTTGAAAGAAAAAGTGTTACTTTCCAGTGTCTACTCGATAATTTCTAATTAGACGGAAAACATAAGCTCACATACTTCTTTTCATTTTTCTTTTACTTTTTTAATTGTGTGAAAGATTAAACTCTCGTCTATTATATCATTATCCATATCCGATATTATGGCATGAAACCGCATGTGTTCATTTCACAAAATGATGCATTGTAGAGTACCTTCTTATCCTACTGAGTTGTGTTCTAATCGCAATGATCATTCCCATAACACTTGGAGCTTTGCTACTAAAAATGCTTTTTTTAGGAGGTCATGCTTTTCTTGAAAAAACATTTATACGTGAAGGCAGTCGACAGTGGAATATGCTGCACGACAATGCTAAACAATTGCACCGTCTAAAAGATTTTAAATGTTACCTAACTTCTCAATATGTTCAGACCTTTCATATTCCTGTAGTACATGATCTTTCTCTTGAAATTCACCATACACGGTGTAGGCTAGGTTTTCCTCAATTAAATGCACCTCGTTTCACTCATGTCTTAGCACAGTCCTCAGCATGTAACTGTGGAGCTGATAAGGAAACAGTAAAACACTATTTTTGGAATGCATCGATTATGAAGAACAGCGACAGGAGATGTTTCAACAGATGCGCGGTATTATAAATTTCCCTATCACTTTAGATCACATACTACTACTCCATCATTCTATCCGCACATTGAAGAGGGATGATCTACTATCAATTTTTAATTCTATTCTGCAATAAATTCATTCAACCAAACGCTTTGATTGACTTGATGTCTTTAGTATTGATTGTTCTTATACAGTGTCATGGATGAAGTTCTCTTGCTTCAAATTTCTCCATCTCTCTCATTACCATCTCTCATTTTTTTTTCTCCGTTATCTGTTTTATTTATTAAAGTTTCATGTTTGTTGAATAGATCCAGGCATACAGTGATTTTATTATCGACTTGCCTGCGCTTTTTCTCTGTTTTTTTACTATTGGCGTTAAATAAAGTTCGATTATGAAGAAAAAAAGAAGAATATTCGGACGGAAAAGTAATCTTTTCGTGCTACTCAATGATGGAACCGTATGATGTCATAAAAAAGTTGTTGTATTCTGCACATGCTCAACAAAAAAAAGCAAAGAAAGAAGCGTCTTTCAGTACTTGTGGTCTCTACTACTAGCACCGAATGTTTTTTTGCCTTTGCCCACCCTGTTTGTCTACATGAGAAAAGCACTCACAGTTTTCATCATTCTGATATTATCTGTATGTTCAGTTGAACTTGCTTTCCTCCTGTCGGTTTAAGCTGGGTGAGAAACTAAGATAGGAAAACATTCCCATACCCATACCTAGAAGGGTTTTGGGTGAGGATCAAACATGGGTTAAACACACTTACTAAAAATTAAGCCGAATAATGAAAGATCGGATTTATCTGGCTTTCAGGAATTCGGTTGAAGTGAATACAAACGTTCCCTCAGGAGCTCTTTCCCTCCCGCATGTCGGCTGCCACTTCTGGCTTCCAACGAATTTTATGTTTCAGTTCTTAATCAATTTTTTCTGCTCAACAATTATCTGTACCATCTTCAGCAAAATGTTTTTTTTCAATTACATTTATTTACATTTGAAAATTAAGTAAATGGTGAAAGTAATTTAACGAAACAGAAAAAAGATTTGCTCACTACTCCTTTTTAACACCTGACGAAATACTATTAAATAAACAAAAAGTACCGTGAAAAATGAGGGTGCAATTTACAAGTTAAAATTATAGAAGCACAATACAATTTAAACTAAAATGATGTGTTTACGCTTCAATTAAATGCTTCACATGCAACAACGATCAATTACTTATCCTTTCCAGTATGCATACAAATAATAACTGATTTTCATGAGTTGTGACATGAATTACCTCATTTTCACACGTGAACGAAAGCGGTATAATTGTGTTCACGAGTTCAAATTTGAAAAAGTAGTGATTTGTGCCAATTTTTAAGTTCTGTATTAATTGAGTGCAGAATCATGATAATATATGAAATATTAACATCAGCTTTTAACATAATCATCAGATTTGTTAGGAAGTGCGTTTTCAAGATCGAGATGCGTTGCGATGTCGGAATATGTGACCAGTTCTGCAAATTATTTAGTGATGCATCAATGCACTTAATTTTCGAATATCTTACATATTAACACTTTTCAAGCGTGATTCATGTTTCTTTGAAATCGATACTGTTAAACTTTAGAAGTAGTCTCATCTAAAGTAGTATAAACGCTGTCGATAAAACTCATCTCGACTTCGAAAACGCACTTCCTAACAAATCTGATGATTATGTTAAGAGATGATGTTAATATTTCATATATTATCATGATTCTGCACTCAATTAATACAGAACTTAAAAATTGAATATATCCGTTCAGGTAAGCCATCAGCAGCTCATATTTTAAATTCTTTAGTTTCTCAGTGAGTGTGATCATTTGCACCCTACACGGTCGTCCATCTTGCTTGACAGTACAAACCATTCCATTGTAAGATTTTCCTATAATATGTTTTCTATCCTTTAGCAACCAACTTTTTCCGAAAACGCACAGCATACAATACAAGAGAAATTATAGTTATCAAAATGGCCGCTTCGTGCGCATTGTCTAGTTTGAGGTCAAAATACAGTTTAGAAGCACTTGAATAATAATATATCTTTTCTAACCTATTTTCTGTAGATTGGACGAAATAATGGTGCTAATTTTAGGAGTATAATTATTTCGTTTGAAAGTTCCTATCGTCCTCTACGAAAACCGTTTAATGGCAAGTAGAAAAGCGCCATCGCTACGCATTTTTCGGAACAACATCCAACATAATTACGACGTGGCACTGATGTGTAAACTTCTTTCAATTTCGTCGTATACGACGTTCGAGTTGTTTTATGGTCTGTGCTTTCCAATTCTGTTCGTAAACTAGTTCAGTCAAGACACCCCGAGATCTTTAGTTTTTGGACACCCTTGTGCACAAATCGTAATGTTATAAAGTGTAAGTTGAAACATGTGCTCTTAGAGAAAAAACCTTCACCTGTCGCCAAAACGTGCATTCTCTCTGACACCTTTATTCTATTATCGTTTATTTATCCAGCTTGAAGGAGAAAATGATGACAGCACAAAATAAATATGTTGATATGCGTTTTCTGCACTACACTTTATCACTTATTACATTCTTAGCTAAAATATGAAACCATGATTCTCCTTATTACATTACTACTTATCAGCTTTACTTCATTGTGGCTGGTTTTACCCTTACTACCATGCGTTGCTCCCCATGTTGTTCCTTTGTCGAAGCGTTTGGCTGGCTCTCGTCCCAATATCGTATTGATAATGGCCGATGACATGGGTTGGGGTGATTTGGGCGCGAATTGGCCCAATACACGTGATACTCCATTTCTTGATTATTTAGCTTCTATAAGTATTCGCTTGCCAGATTATCACAGTGGAGCGTCAGTTTGCAGTGTTAGTCGAGCAGCTCTATTAACTGGGCGATTAACGCCACGTACGGGTGTTTGGCAAAATTTCGCCTCAACTGCCCTTGGGGGACTGCCTGTTAATGAAACTATCATTTCGGAACTTTTAAAAAGTGTTGGCTATGCAACTGCTATTCATGGTAAATGGCATCTCGGACATCAACCTCCGTTTCATCCTTCATACCGAGGATTCGATGAGTATATCGGTGTTCCATATAGTATTGATATGGGCTGCACAGATAATCCTGGAGCTAACCATCCACCTGTCAAAGTTTGTCCTAAAGATCCGCCGCTTCATTTCGAACAAAAACATGAACATCCTAATGATCTAAGAAAAGTTATTGAAGCTGATTTAACAGTTGGTATACCACTGTATCAATGTCTTACACCTCGATGTTTTAATGATAACTGTAATAAAGAAATCATTGAACAGCCAGTTAATCTTTCAACTTTAACACAATCGTATATTGATAATGATCGACGATTTATTCAACAAAGTGTAGAAGCAAAGCAACCATTCTTTCTATATTTACCCTTATCACACATGCACGTACCGCATGATTATGCACGACAGTTCAAAGATACAAGTGCTTTGCCAAGTGTTTATGGTGACACACTACGAGAATTAGATTATCATGTCAATCAAACGTATCAACTGTTAAAAGATTTAGATATTTTAAACCAAACACTGTTGATCTTTACCAGTGACAACGGACCATGGTCATCAAAATGTGATTTAGCAGGAAATCAAGGACCATTTATGGGTGTATGGCAAGCGTCACCATTACCTTCTGGAGGTGGAGGAGGAGGCACAGCAAAGTTCACAACATGGGAGGCAGGACATCGTGTTCCATTCATTGCACATTGGCCGGGCATGATCAAACCGGGCACCTTCTCTAATGCCGTTGGGTCGCACTTGGATATGATGCCAACTATTGCAAATCTTGCTAATTTTACTTTACCGTCAGATCGCAGCTTTGATGGAATTGATCTGAGTCCGGTGCTTTTTGATGGTTCCGACCAGGGCCATGAATATCTATTTCATCCAGATATGCTTGGCATACTTTCAGCAGTTCGTTATAATCAATATAAAGCTTATTATATGACATATCCTGCGATTGACGGAGCATGTGGTGGTAAAGAAGGCTTTATCAGCCCTCATGAACCACCGCTAGTTTTTGATCTTAGCCGTGATTTGGCTGAATCAACTCCAATAGTGGTTTCGCAATCAGTGTACGATGCTATTGATCAAGCATTACAAGCAAAGTTAAAAGATATTGCCTCAACACCGCGCACAAAAGTTGATTATCGAATAGGAGGATTAGATGCACGCGCTTGCTGTGATGCAGGACATATTGTTTGTCGTTGTACGGACTGACGCCTGTGACTTTTGTTCAAAAAAAATGACACTGCGAATATAAAAAGTATAGTACACAGCAGAATTTGAGCACACAGTTGAGAAATCCTTCAGAAATCTGCAGGCAAGAATGTAACGTTTTAGTGATTCTTTGCTATAAGATGCAAAATCCTTTAAAAAATATTTTCACTGTCATAATAGATGACACTGTTGGACTCACCTAAGAGTTTCTGGACACGAAACTTCTTTTCTTGTCTCACATCTTGCAAGTTAAAAATGTACAGTACTTTTCCTTTTCGTTTCTTTTCTCCGAAGAAAAAGAAAAAGATTTTTTCCATAACTCTGTTTCAAATATTTTGCTACATGAACTAGAGCAAAGCTCATACCCAACGTTCCCTTTTCGCGTTTCAGATTTTAATCCCGCAGAGATTGTACTGACAGCTTTTTTATCATGAAAGATATCTTGCTTCGTAATTGTAAGCATCAATTAAAAAGAAAAGCATTTTTTACGGGAATAAATTATCAAACGTCCTGTGAGCAGTTCCTTCAGATGATTGAGAGAGAACAACGCTCCCAGTTCATGGTATCATATTCCAGGGATCGACCCATTCTTATGTATCTTTTGCCGTTTGGACGTGACATCAAACTTCTTGAAAGCCCAAGAATTGGTGGGAGGTGAGCAGTGGGAACCACAAAAGCAACTTGGTCATAGATGATCAATTATGCTGAGTGGAGTGGCAATGTTTGCCTTAATTATAAGCTTTAACAACCTATTGAACGATTTACCGACTCTTTTGTGAATTTTTGAAAACAGATGTTAAGAACCTAAACTTTCAAGTTCTTCTTACGATTTTCCAGCTTACCTGGCCTTTTCCTTCAACAAAATGGAAATTCAGACACAATGAGCACAGCATAACTTTAATTCTTATTCATAGAAGCTTGTACAACGCTCAAGAGCGCTGAGATATTTGAAGAATTTGCAGCAGCTTTCTAAGACTCAATTGTTACCGAAAATTTAATTAAAAATTACTGCATTTTCTCTTGATAAGACCCTTTCCTTTACAGTCGAGTTAAAATGCCTGTATGTATGTTTGTATGTCCGCAGACTAGATACTAGCGACACACGAACCAGTAGAGCAACACTTGATTGAACCGGAATGATATGGAGTAGGCAGTCGGCTATGGAGAATCAGAAAATAAGTCTGAGAGGCCTCTACGTTGGCTTAAAAGTAAGATTGATCATTGAATAAAAATTGAACATGTTTTTTGGAGGTAATAAAAATGATTCTCACGCACAGATGGTGCAGCATGTCGATGATAAACACAAAGAGACGTTACATGTGGTTATCAATAATGAAGTAGGCAGACGCCTAGATGAGCATCGAAAATAACTTATGAATGAATGAGTAGAAGAAACATTTTTTTAGTAAGGTGCCCGCACTTCAAAAGTGCAGCACTATCTACATATTCAGATACTCCTGACTGTGCGCTGATCCTGAATATCACCTTTTTATTCGAATTTGATCAAGCTTTTGTAGAGAAATTCTTAAAATACTAAGAGCACCGAGAAAACAAAAAATTTGCATTACTCAGAGAAAACTTAAAATTTTGCCCCCTTCCGTTCACTGTAATTTTTTGAATTTGATATATTTGGATTCCCCATCAAAAACTGACTCTAATCGTGTATCTTCGAGTCACAAAAAACAAAATACCTGTGTTCCACAATTTTGACAAGAGTAAGCATTTCAAAAAATGAGCTACC